CCTATCATTTTAGGCACCGTAATGAGATACACGAGACTGAATTTTGATGATTAAGGCAGTATAAATAATAGTGTATTCCCCTGAGTTAAGTGAATTTGAATCCAAAGGTTTACCAGAACTTAATATTAATCTACGCAAAAAATGGCAAGCTCGGCCGACGTGTTTAGGTCAAAAACTCTAGCTTTAATGAAGTAGATGACAGGAACGGGCCTTGCTTTTTCCATAAATGTTGTCAAGATACAAAGAAGGAAAATCGAGCTTGCAAATGAAATTTGTAGTTAATTTTAAAATTAGGAAGAGGATACAAATACAGACTCAAGAAGTTGGCCTAGGAATAGCAAAATTGTGGGCAAAGCATTTTCATATGTCAAGGAGGTTGGGGCTAATAGTCAGTTGGATAGGAAAAACCATGAGGCTCGCTCGTGATTACATTAAAAGAACAAAACAACTTTTAAAGTAATTAGCAAAGCATGCCTACTCGTGCTTCGGAGAGACGAGTCTCATTTTCTGTGTTGATTTGCTGAAGATTATGACACTCTTCCGTCTTGTCATCTAGACAAGACTGGAGCCGATCTTTCTCGCCATCAAGAGTAACGATAGCTTGCTGAAAACGCATTGATTCATCTCTTTTAAGCTAAAACGAAAATGATTTAATAATAGAATGGAAAAATTGTAATAGCTCGGTAAGGACCAAAAAACTTCAGCTGAGAGATTAATGAAGCGAAATATAACAGTCATAAAAGAAAAATATTAAAAAAACTTTAATGTCATATCAGTATAACTTATAAGGCATGAAATAAGGTAAATTGTAGTAGACTACCATAAATATGAGCTAGATTCACTATAAATATAATGTAAAGTGATGAAACATAAAATTGTCATAATAATCATGAGTATAAGAGATAGCACATTGAAATGGTAAGGAATATTTCGCAACTAATTAGCATAATGTAGTTCCTTCAATGATACTATTTTTTTTACTATTTCAAACACAAGTTAGAGCAAGCAACAAGTAACTCATAATGCACCCAAGGTAGTCAACAATAGAAGTGCATATGAATTCGCAGCGAGAAATAAAGAGCAAATAATCCTTGTTCGCGAGTGTAGGACGCCTAGTTGTCATGGTATCATCAGGTTAGAATTTAATCTCTAGATGTTATTTTGACTTGCAGTCAAAATATTTTGATAAAACAACACGCAGAATAGTTCTTAAGCAGGACATTGTCTATATAGTGATAGCCTCGTAACTATATTAATTAGTTAGGAAATTGTCAAAACTAAATCGAGAAAATATGAACAATAAATTCAATGTTAAATTAAATTTTATTAAAAGGACCTTCTGGATACAGTAGCCACTATGAGACTTAAATCGACAAATAAATGTTTAAATAGTATAAGTAGGTTTGGAGACTTTCAGTAGATCATATATAAGGGCTATAGTGAGCTTATTTCGCTTAAAGTGATGAAGGATTGATATTTGAATTTTCCCACAATGATACGAGTATTTTTCACGTTTCCGTTGAATTTCATATAGTTTGATTCCCAAAAGCTCTTTTTAACCAAGGTGGACTGTATTTTCGACCTTGCCTGGGCCTCAACAGCCTCAGTGAGACTCGAACCTGCGGTCTACGTGGCAAGACCATATGGCAAACTGAGAGTGCTGATTAGAACAATTCAGGCGAGGTCGAAACTGCAGCTCAGTCTAACCAGGATGAAAGTACGTTTTGAGAATCAAGGCTAGGTCAAATTCTATGGAATGTGAGGCTTACCCATAGCATTGTGAGAAAAGTGAAATACCAGCCCGTCATTATCTTAAACGAAATGGGGTGAATACAGCTCTTATAAATGTACAAATACGTATTAATGTAGAAAAACCTAGATTGAAGTTCAGAGAAAATAGCGTTAAATTGCCAAAAATATCCAGGGCTCACTTTCCAGCACACACTCATCGAAAGAGATGGGATTGCTACCGAAAGCAATCGGGAGTCTCATACACTCGATTAATTGAAATTACCCAAACGACCCAAATAGCAAAAAAAATTGGCA